GGCGCTTCTTAAAACCTAAATGTGCACCTACCATACAGCCCAGCAGCTGTGATCCTGGGCATGCACACCAAAGGAATGAAAGCTTACATTCACAGCAAAGCCTGCACACAAACATTCAAATAGCTTTACTCGCAACAGCTATCGACCGGAAACTCAGAAACATCCTTCTATGAGTAAGTGACTAAATGAACTGTGGAACATCCATACCATGGGATACTATTCACAAAACAAACCAACCCCAAAGAACAAACCTTTCCTGAGACACAGGTCTTGCTCTTGCACTCAAAGCCCTGTACACTGACCCAGGCTGGAGTGCTGGGGCATAATCACCGCTCACTGCTGTGTCCAACTCCTGCCTCTCACCTTGGCCTCCCAAAGTGCTGGGATTATAGGCATTAAGACAGCACACCTAGGCTCGGTGCCAATAGTTCAGTGGTTAGGGTGCTGGCCACATGTACCAGGGCAGGTGGGTTTGAACCTGGCTCAGCCCTGCTAAATAAGAACAACAACAACAACAAAAATAGCCAGGCTAAATTATGGCAGGCACCTGTAGTCCCAGCTATCTGGGAGTCTGAGGCAAGAGAGTCACTTAAGCCTGAGTTTGAGGTTGCTGTGCTCTGTGATGCCACAGCACTCTATCAAGGGCAAAAACCAATAAAAAGACAGCACACCTAGACTTTTTTTTCTTTGAATTTCCACACACAACATTGAGGAATGAACTATACATACAAAGATATGAATGACTCTCCGGAGATTTATGCTGAGCAGAAAAACCCAAACAGTTGCTAACTGTGCTATTCGCTTCTGTACATTCTGCCAGTTACATATGTAACATTCCTGAGAAAGCAAAACTGTACAAATTGAGAACAGATTAGTGGTTGCTGGGGGTTAAGGAAAGAGCAGGGCAGTAGGGAGGGAAGTGGATACAGCTTGAAAGGCCAACAAGAAGGATCCTCAGAGGACACTGACTCTGGGCCGTCTCCAGTTAACAGCCTCAGTATGACATTCTGGACAGTTTTACAAGCTGTTGCCACTGGGGAAAATGGGTAGAGGGCACGTGAGATCTTTCTATACTATTCCTTGTGAATACTATATTAATATACTATAAGTCTACAATTGTCTCACAAATTCTAAAACTTAATTCAAATAAAGAACAAGATTTGCTATATAATTTATCCAAATTTTTAGAAAATACACTTACACACCAGATTTAATTACTCTGTAGCAACCTCTAAAGACTATCTATTGAAGACAGGGCTGAATTCACACTAAAACCTAAGCAAGCCTCTGGCTCCCAGGTGCACATAAACAGGAAACCCTAGGACAGAGGGTACTGAGAAGGTAGGCTGTAACCAGAACCTGAAAAGGGAAGCTCAGCCTGGCCCCAGGAGCTGACCCCACTCTGAAGGAAGCGGCTGCAGGCCGACACTCTAGACTGACAGATGACAGTCTTCACCACAGCTAATAGGTTCTTTCTCATCCAAAATGCTTGGGACCAGAAGTGTTTCAGATTTTGGATTTTTTCAGATTTTCGAATATTTGCATCATACTTACTGGTAGAGAGTCCCAAATGCCCAAAT